TGATACTGGAAACAGTAACAACTCTAACAGAGTCTGAATCTTGGTTTCTAAACAGTATTTTTCACTAACAAAAACCAGGACTCCCTGGAAAAATGGCCAATTCCAGCGCTAGGAAAGGGAAAGAACAAGATGAGCCAAAGATATCTTGCTATGTCAGTAAGTAAGGAGATGCTCAAAGGATGGAGGGGACTTGTCAAAACATCACTGAAGCAAGCCAGCTTTAAGAAGTTTCCTTTGACCAATTTCTGGCAATTTGAGTATTAAAATAAATAATCATGGTAGCATATTGTGAAACACTGAATAAAACAGAAAACCATGAGCCCATACTGATATAAGCGTTAGACATGAATAAATTTAAAGTTTGATAAGAAATGAAATATTTATATACTCTCAAATTCCCTTTCTACAAAATATCTGTTAATTACAAAGGGAAACTTCATGATGGGGAATCTTGGCAGGCACCACCTTTATTAAAATTAACATCGTTAGGAATTATAAAAATGGAAATTGTATACTATTCTATAGTAATCAGTGAAAAGAAAACTATTATTTCCCCAACATGCACAACCATTATGAAGAAAAACCAGACCAATCCAAACTGAGGGACACTCTCCAAAATAAATGGCCTGTGATATTTAAGTTTCAAGATGATAAAAGCCAAGGAAAGAATGAGAAACTGTTGCACGTTGAAAGAGACTAAAGAGAGGTGACAACTAAACACAGTATGTAATTCCAAATTGGATCTTTGACTATAATGGCTGTTATTTGGATACTTTGTGAAAATCGACTGAGATCTGAGAGATGAATTTGCTATGAAGATTTTGATGGTCATATTTTAAGTATGTAGGTGGATGCCCTTGATTACAAAAAATGCACTGAAGTATCTGTGGGTGATGGGTCACCATGTCAGCAATATATGCACCCAAATACTTAAGGAAAAAAAGTTTTATGTACTATACTTCCAACTTTTCTATACATTTCAGATTATTTCAAAGCAAAAAGACAAATCAATTAATTTAAAAGGAGAAAAAAGGCCAATATGGCTAGAAACATTTGCCCTCAACTTAATCATCTGGACAATAAGGAGGATAGTAGAAATTCACAGATCTGAGCTCCAACCATACTGTAGTGTGCTAACTAGTCCCCACGAATGACATACTAATGAAAAAGGGTATGTATTAGTTTTCTATTGCTGTGTAACAAATTACCACAAATTTAGTGCTTCGTGTAATAATTATTATCTCAGTTCTGTAGTACAGAAGTCTGGGATGACATGACTGGGTGCCCTGCTGAAGGCTGAAATCTGGGTGGCAGCTTACTGTGGTCTCATCTGGTGCCCAGGGTGTCCTTTCCAAGCTCATTCCTGTTATTGGCAGAATTCAGTTCCTTAAGGTTGTAGCACTGAAGTCCCCATTTCTCGCTGGGACAGCTCTCAGCCCTTATAGAATCCTCTCAGGTCTTTGAACAGTGACTCCCTCTATGTTAGCAATGGAGCACCTTCCTCACATGGGATGCTTATCACATTTTGAATCTCTCTGACTTCTTCTGCTGCCATATGGGGAAAATGCTCTGCTTTTAAAGAGTTCATGTAATTAGGTTAGGCTACCCAGATAATCTCTGTCTTAAGGTCAATTGATCAGTAACATTAACTATATCTGCAAAATCCCTTTTGCTATAAAACATAACACAATTATGAAAGTAACACCAGGGAGCAGAGATTGTGGGGATCATTTTAGAATTTTGCCTGTCACAGGATAGAAGAGAGAAGTGTATGGTAGTCTTCTGTCAAACAATATATGTAAAAAAGAGAAGATGAAAATCTGTTTCTCAGATTCATAAAGTGGGGGTTGGGAAATTCTGGACTACAACCTTTGAGACATCTTCTGCAGTGCAATTCTTAGATTTGTCTTTATTAGGCTGTAAGAGCAGGCACAGTGTGTTTCTGATTAATTACTGCATTTCCAGCACTTAGCTTAAGGCCTAGCACATAGTAGATACTAAAAAATGTTGAGGGTATGAAGGATAAATGATGAGTGAAGGATTAACTATGGCAAACAAAGATTTATTTCCTTATTTAGCTAATCAAAATCTTCAGGGCTAGTCTCCCAGTGAGTTATTCTTCCAAAATAGCCAGGTTAAGGAGAAACCTGATAGTTAATTTCCAGTTCCCCTTTGATTGATGATACTTGTGTGTATACAGAATTCGGAGAATTTTTCTTTTTTAAGTATAATTTGCCAGGAAGACTTGGAACATATTCATTTATCAATAGAAGCAGCTAAAACATTCAAAATGAAAGGATCTTATGATGCTATACTTTTAAAATTAACATATACTATGATAAAAGCTGAGAACATTATCATATAGGGATATAGGAAGAAATTATATTAAGGATTATTTGGAAATAGTTTCATTATGTTTTATCATTATAAAATATAACTATGCTCAAAGCAAAAAAAAACCTGAAAAATACAGACCATAAAAATAAAATAAAGATAATCTATAATCCCACAACTCAAAGGTAATCACTCTTAATATTTTGATAAATATCCTTTCAGATTTTCTCTTCTGAAACTATGGGAAAAAAAAACACTCCAGCACATACACATATAATTCTACCTGGATAATTCTACACAGATACGTATCACTGCAATGACATCCTGGTACATAAATCTTTGTGCTTTGGCTTAATTATTTCTGGAAAATAAGTACCTAGAACTACTACTGATAAGCTAAATGGTATGCAAATCTTGATATTACCAGAATGCCTTCAGAAATGTTTAACCCCACAAGCAGGTTATAAAGTACCTATTTATCCTTACCAAAAATGGGTACTATTAAATATTTAATCTTTTCCAATTTTACACATAAAAATAATAATTATTTTAATTTGTATTTTTGTATAGCTATTTTAAATTTTAATTTTTCTTTCAGGTTTTAAAAAATATTTTAAAATGAGGTTGTTTAAATGGCTCTTAGGTATTATTTTCTCTTACTCTTTTGTCAAAAAGTATATTTTTACTTCTTATAAATATTTAAGCCCTTATTTAAATAATTTTCAAAATGCATTAGTACGGTAGGCAGCTGCAGGATGGCTCCCAAGGACCCCAGACACCTGGTATTTACAACCCTTTGAAATCCCCTCCCCCTTACATGTGAGCTGTCCTGTGACTCCCCTTTTTGTACTGCCAGTAGAATATGGCAACAGGAATGGAAAGTCACTTCCGTGATCAGGCAATAAAACACTGTGACTTTCATCTTGCGAGCAGATTCTCCTTATTGCCATCTTGGAGGCATGCTTTGATGAAACTAACTGCCACGTGGGAAAGCCCACCTGCCAAGGAGCCTGGGGTAGGCTCTGGCCAAGAGCCAGCAAGGAACTGATGCTCTCAGTCCAACAGCCCATGAGGAGGTGGAATCTACCAACAACCATGCGGACTTCGGAGTAGATCTTTTCCCAGCTGCATCTTCAGATGAGACCCCAGGCCTGGCTGACACCTTGATTACAGCCATAACTGGACCCATTCCACTACTGTACTGTCTCCCAGTGAGACTCCCTCTGTGGCATATTCTGCCTCCAGAGCTTCCAATGAAGACTTTTCAAGGTACAAAACTGTGATGTTAACATACCATATCTTCGAATACAGAGCAAATATTTATTTTGAAATTCTCATACAAATGAGTTATCATATCCTATAGGGCAATGTGTGGATTTTAGAATGGCCTGAAGAAATTTGGTCTCAGGCGTGTTTACTTTTGACAAAGAAAGTTAATGACAGCTCCTGGGTCTGTGCTTGTTATTTCTGTTAAAGAACTGATTGGATATCCACTCAACATTTTACTTTTCAACTAGCACTGGGATTCTTAAGGATACTACTTCAATTTCACAATAAAGATTGGAAATTCTATAGCAATGTATTTATAGGTACTTTTATTTATATAGATTTGAGTATCTACTTATATATATGCCCAAACTTGGCTAGATTCTGTGAAAGATTAAAAAAAAATGAAGAGCTTACTTTTTGATAGTGGGATGTATAATTTCTCCAGAAAATGTTTATTGTGGAGGGCTGAATATTGTACAAAGGCACATTCATTCTGACTCCATTTGAGGACACCTCTGTTGCCTCCTCTAGAATAATATTGGTCCCTTAGCATTTCTGTGTTAATGTGAGTGAAAATGTTTAAAAACTTATGAGCATTTTGCTAACGTAAGTAATTTGCCTAAGAATGTCTCATATGGCCCTCTGCTTATGAGGCAGAAATTATAATTTAGGGGACTAGAGAAGGCCATTCTTCCCTTTCCACACTGCCTCCGCCTCCTTGACTCCTTGACTTTTGCTTTCATCACTTTAAATGCCACCTCAGGAGATTCCTTTGGTAGGGATGAGGGTAACATTATTTTCTTCGACTTATTTAAATGTTTATTATTATGAAAACTAGAGGAGAAATTTAATAACAGAGATTTTATTCACACATTCACAAAGTGAAAGGTTTTCACAAAATGATGAATTCAGCAGTCAACAAAGTAAGTTTATGTTTTTATCCATCAAGTCTTTTTTTTCTCACACAAAAGGAGGTGACAACCTTAGAGTTTTAAGAGTTAGTGGTAGACTGAAGCAGGCTGAGGGAGAACCCAGAATAGAGGGATGGAGAAGTGGAAACATATCACCTCATTCACAATTGACCCTGATCAAGCCATGTTTGAGGGACCACTACACCTTCTGTTTTAAATAAAACAGAGCAGTTGCTTCCCTTCTGCCCGAAGTCAGATTCCTTCTTCTTATTACCATATTATGTCATCTTATTTTGATTAGTTAAGAGAAGTCCAGTAATCTGTGTTAAAGGTTAAGAGAGTTCCTATCCTCGGCAATTCAAAGGAAATAAAACGTCTGATGCCTCCCTTAAAGGAGTTGAGAGATTGTTCTACTTTTAGATATGAGCCACAAGCACAAGGGGAAAGACAGCTGTCAATGGAAAGTTCAACAGAATAAACATCTCATAGGAAGATGGGGATTGATCCACTAGGAGTAGCCTCAGCCCTCATTCACAGAGCACTTAACTAGTAAGGCAATAATTCAACATAAGAGAAATGCCTTATAGTGTTTTCCTCAAGGAGAGATTAATATCTCAGAAGGGACAACTCTGGGTTTCACCTCGACCTTCTCCATTTGGTGACTTTCAGAACGACCAGCTATGCCTTACACTATGATGGAGAGAGAGGACATGATTTGGAATCAGGACATTTGGATACCACCCAGCACGTCTACCTATGTGAGTAATTCATGACATCTCTCCAAGCCTCAGTCTCCTCATTAGCAACAGTACCACAATGTTGTTTAGAAATCCACTGAGATTTTTTTAAAAAAAAAGGGTGAAATATGTTGTTCTACATATCATGCTCCTGATTTTTACTGCTACAGGAGTGTATAAATTTCAGACCATTCCAAGAGAAGCAACATGACTCAGCTATTCAAACACAGATGCTGTGACAGAAACCTAACTGCCACTCATAAGCTGAATGAAGGATTCAAATCTTCATTCTATTCTTTAAGGATACATCCAAAGATATGTCTGGCACAGAGGATCCCTGGAAGGTTTTCTGTTTTTTGTTTTTTTCAGTTGACATGAAAAAGATCTCTGAGTTTCATTATGTAAATTTTAGAAATGAAAAGAATTCAACTAAAATTATTTTTTCTAAAACTATGTATTTTTAAACTCTATCCCCCAAAGTAAGTCTGACCAGTTGTTTATATAAATAAGAACCCATTTTGATGACATAAGTTTCAAGAGAAATCAACCCTTGAATTAAGTTGCCAATGCCTTTTGCATTCAACATAAAGTGGATGCAAAAAGAAAGGGCAGTCTGAGGTTATGCTAACTAATACTCGTTCTTGAAAGATGCGAGGCACCAAGATGGGAAGGAAGGGGAATCATACTGACCTCTCCAGTTTCCAGAAGTAAATACCGCGATTGCTAGGCCTCTGATTAATATTCAGTGGATGAATCTGACCTAAAAAAATCCATGATAATATTCTGAATGCTGGTAGGCTGAAGGAAATGCATGCTAACACAGCAGTGAAGAGTATGGATTTCAGTAACAAAAAGACATATATTTGAATTTCCGGCCCTCTTGTTACTAGCTGTGAAATCTTGGGTAAGTTATTTAAGTTCTGCAAGTCCTGGTTTCTTTATATGGGAAATGGCAATAATCTTAACAATTGTCACCAGAGTTAAAATGAAATAATGTAAACAGAACTCAGTCTGGCACATTATAAGAGCTCAATAAATGATAGCTCTGCTTACAATGCTATTGTTTATGCACTCTTAAATTATGTATAAAAGTGGAGATGTAATACATTTTAATGATATTCCTCAGGTTCTGAGTGCATTCGTCCTCATAATCAACAGACATATATATTATAGCAGCATTTTTTTCTCTTATGTGGGTATATTTTCTTTTGCAAAACAAAGTAAATCAATATTTTGTAAATCAAATTATGTGTGATAATGAGAGATGGGCATTACACTAAAGAAACAATTTTTAAACTGTGCTGAAACAGAGTCTTTTGAAAATCTGAGAACCACTATACATCCTCTCTTCTGGTCCAAATGCACAATCTCCACGTACAATTAAAAGGGCACATGTATCTCCTCTAAAAAAAAAAAGCTGAGGTTTTTAATGAAGTGAATAAACATTCAATACTGCAAATAAACCAATCCTTAATTTATCTGCTGTAGAAGCTTAAATGTTCATATAGTGACATTTAATAAAGTACCCTATATAGACTACTGTTTTTTTTTAATGTGGTCTGAAACATAGTCATATGGCATGATGTTTGCCAGAAAAAATCATTTTACCCCAAGCTTATTAACAATGCTGTATCTAGCAGTTCTGTATCCAGTGAACAGTCACTGGTGTACCATTAATACTAGTGTCAGGGGGTAATACTGAATTATACAATCTGATTAATACTTTTCTTTTATGCTGTTTCAGTACCACAGAGCTAGCGAACAGTATTTTTTTTTCCAGAACAGTTTTTTAAACTTTGTATTTTCAATAAGTATCTTTTAGAAACTTCTATAAAGTAATTATTTTCCTAGCATATTATATCTAATGGGAGTAACTGAACACTTGAATCTTAAAATCAATCAGTAAGGTGACAAGTGTACCATGGAATACTTGGCTTTGCTCCTGAACTCAACACTATATTAAAGCTAATGTAATGTAGTGTTTCAATATTTGAAAATAACAGATGGTTAACAGACTTTAGAGACTTCCTTGCCAGCAAAAATTGGTATTTCTACTAATGAAAATAAATCACAACACCTTCTGAATATATGTTTAAAGACAAGTTTTGAGAGATACAAAAAAAATCTTGAGGACATATAGTTTAGCTATCAGTTAATCTTTAAACTGTGATTTTTGAAGTTGTAAATTAACTAGGGAAATATCTTACTTTAAGGAGAGGTTGTCAACCTAGGATAAGCTACAGCACCATCTCAATTTGTGGTTCTAATCTCATTTACATTTCCATCTTCAATGAGTGAAGACTGATTGCTTCATTTTTTTCCATAAGCAAAATTCATGAAATCTTAATGTGAGATTTATGATTTTTTAAAAATGTCATTAGGTAACTCAAGAGGCAAATGAAAGTAGTTTTCGTGGGTTAAGTGAGCAACAACCACCGCTGGCAGGGGTTTTGTTTGGTTGTTGATCTGCTGCATCTGCCATGTGTGAAATGACAGGCAGATCATTCAGGAAATTCAATACACCTACAGAGAGAAGCCAAACATGACAATTTATTTTGGGAACTGTTCTATCAGGAGGATACACTGGTTCTTGGAGCAGTCTCATAAAGCCTCCCTTTTATCACGCTGTGTCTCGATTAAAGGGACAGCTGATGTCTACTGCATAGAGAAAGGATTTCTCTTGACAAGGTTGTCTTATTCTTGTCAATGTTTTTCCTATCGCAAGAAAAATATCTTACTGTTAAATATTTGCTTATTGTCTGTTTCCAGCAACACAGATTGAAAGACGACTCCTGGAAGGCTGGGCACAGTCATCTCATAAATTACAAACAGCTGATCCTAATAATTATGTATATGGCATTTTTATCTTGTGAACAACATACTTCTGAAGATGGAGGGATGGGACTATAACAACTATTTCTTTACTTTTTTCATTTGTAAGTTTTACACTTGTGATACAGTTTGCCAAAATTTATTTAGTAACTAAAATTTACAAATCAACTTAGAAACCATTGTGTTTTTACGAGAGCCTTTAGATGACAGCAAATTATGGTATATTTATTCATTGTAGCTAAAAATTAAGAATGACACTTGTTAAGGCACTTAGTCATGCTTTTTATCTTCCATTCTCTTTCTTTCTTTTACCTATAATTTCTACTCAATCTTGGGATTTACTGTTCATGTAACTTCTTTCACTAATGCAAATCAGAATGGCCAAAATAATCCTCTGTGAATAAGTAACAAGTATGATATATTGAAAGTGGCGAGCTGGCTCCATCTTAACAGTTTCTGGGACTTAACAATCTTGCTGAATGGTGTTTAGATTCAGGAAGCATCTCACACACCTTCTCATAGAATAATAAAATAATAATCAATGTCTCAAAAGGACAAGCAACAACTCACTGGTTGAGGTGTACCTGGTAGATGGTGAGCTTTGCCCCTGCGTGGTACAGGTTGGGTGTTCCTAATTAACACTAACAACACTGACAAAACTGTTCACCTTTTTGAATTGCTCTATTTAAATTTTTTCCTTATTTTTGATCTGTCACATGTTAAACCTCTCCAAGATCACATTTCTTCTCTTTTGTTTAGATTGCAGTTGATAATTCTTTTCTTCCCTAAATTAAAACAATAAATACGTTTCTTAATACTTTTTAGTTGTTTAAGATTAACTCATCTTTTAAAAAATTTCCATATGTTGTCTATGAAACAAATGCATTCCTGTGCTGAAATAGATTCTAAAAGGAATCATTTCCCCACCACGCTGACAGCTCACGATGATTAATACTTCTAGACAGCGAAACGTCCCCTGCATTGAATAAGTACAGATGGTGCTGAATGTCTTTTCTACTTGTTGTTTACTTTCAACTCACATTCACATCAAGTTCCAAGGTGTTGTCTTCTTGGTGAAGGATAATGATAAAGATGTGGTTTACAGGTTAATGATACGACTTGTCAGTCATGTTCAGACTCTGGGAAATGGAGGTGAGAACTCTCTCCTGTCACTCAGTGGCCCGGTCTTAGCCTTTTGTAAGGAAAATGTGTGTATTTCTCTCCTATCTCTGTTCTTGCCTGTCTTTATCCCAATTCTGAGTCTACTGAGCTTTCCCCCAACGTCTGTGTACTTCAGGAAGGGTATAAAACCCTCTCAAAACCATTGTCCATTTTGCAAACAACACACACAGACACCCACACACACACACACTTTCAGTGCTCAGGAGAGTGCTTGGCAGAGAGTACAGTATTCAGTCAAGTGAATGAATTCAATGAATAGAAAAAAAGGAATAACTCATGAAACAAACCACACTGAAATATGAAGGAAGATTTTTCAGTGCATTTTTGAACTGAGCAAGATGTTTTGTTGCTGGTTCTGTGAAGGTAAAGATGAAGTTCCCTCACCCTCAGAATAGAGAGATTAATGATGAATTACTGTATTCTGTTGATTCTTCTTTTGTAGTTGGCTTTATTCCTTTGATAACTATGTAACTTTAAAAAGCTAAAGATCTAATCTGTTCTTAGAAACAATAATTAGCACATATATGAAAACTAAAAAAAAAGTAGTATACTATATATATGTATTTACATGCAATATAATGTGTATGTGCAGTCAAACTGTAATAATTCTATATAATAAAACTCAAAAAGGGGAAAGAAAGAATAGAGATATTAAAATGGATATCTTTTCTAAGTTAAATAAATACATCATTAGACATAAAAATTTCAAAATAACTTCTAAGCTATAGCTACAAGGTGATTGGTAATTTCATGAATGCAGTAAGATTAGTGAGTATAATGTATTTTAAATAGAAATATTACATTTTGAAGATAAATTATATATAAACTACTAGCACTTATATGGCAATACCTTATGTTAGTAAGATATGATTATTACTATTTCTATCATAAAGTAATTAAATAATGCACATGTGAATTATATACAGAGTATATGCAAATGTAGGCATGCACTGGATAGTGTTAGACTCTCAAGTATATTTCATCCTTCCCTACTATGTAGTAGCCATGGGATTTAAATAGCATTGATCCCACTCCCAGTCCTGAGGGGGAAAGGGTCTCATGGATCCTTTCCCACTGCCACAGTAGTTTAGGTGTGGGCATATATTTCAGAGTTAAGTCAACCAGCATTCCCTCAGATGAAGTGATTCAGCTATTTAGGATCACCCAATTAGAACAAAACATAGGACTTTCTTCCTAAGGTCATGGAAGGCAACCCTCTACCTCTAGCCATGAACAAAGTCACCCGCACTCACATTTACTACTGGCAGCCTTTCTATGCCCACAAGGAAAGCAAGCCTTCAGAAGAAGCCAACACTGTTGACAGAAGAATGGCAAGAAGGAAAGATACTGTGCACTGATAACATCACTGATTAACCCTGAAGAACCTCGAATCTCTGGACCTTCTACTCACATGAGACAGCAAATTCCCTTATGAATTAACTGTGAGTTGCCCTTTCTGTTACTTGTAACTGAAAAGTCTTCACAATACAATATCCACCAAAACATGTTCACTCATTTGGCCATGAGCCATGAAAAACTTCCAGAGGGAAAGATGACTTTTCTGAGAAATGGCTTCTTAGAATTTCTACTGTCACCTTGTTTGGTTTTACTTATTTGAGATTAGACTCTTTATCGGAAGTATAGGAAAATTATTAAAGAAGTAAAAACATAACATTTGGATAACTTATATTTAATTTTACAGCTAACAAATCTCTAAGAAACTTTAATAAAGACACAATTACAGACACAAAGGGCATGGACTCTACAGAGCCTACTGCCACAAAACTCTGGGAAAAACAGGAAGATGCTTTTAAAATACATTAACCTAAAAGAGAAATTTCTCAGTGAATACATCTTGGAACCATTACTATTTTGAACTATGTCTGTGCCAATATCTTGCACTGTGATAAAAACATACATAATAATAAATATTTTTAAGTGAATGAATGACTTATTCTCAAGAGGTGAATAACCATAAAGGAACAATAAGTCAGTCACAGAAGAAACACAAGTATGTCTTCAATAGCACAGTATAACATTTTAAGGAAAACAGTGGATGTAAGGAAAAGGTGGATGAGGATTGTGCTGTAGGCTGAACAATTAGGTTTCTTGGATAAAAACCAACAATAATATGAAAAATACAAGTGCATGAATTAGGCTTTTATTGATTCAAAGCAACAGAAACCAACTCTGGCTCAGAAAAGAAAATGGGATTTAACTTGCAGTACATTAGAGCTCAGGAAATTAGCAGGTTGCAGTTAGGGTTGGTTAGGAACGGGCAGAAATCAAGGCCATTCCAGAGACTTAAGAGGTAAGACTCATGAAAGGGACAATTCAGGTCAGGATGCAGCTATTTAAGGAAGGTGACATGGTGGAGGTGGGTAGTGACCTAAAGGAAAGCCATTTCAGTGGAGACTATGAATGGTTGGAGAAGACTGAAGAGAAATGGAAAAATAAACAACTTTTTGGGATGAATTTTCCTGTGAAGGGGAGCACAGAAAGGCATGAGGTCAGAGAGGTCTTAAAACTACTATTTATCTATTCTATATATATCAGTTAGTATAAACAACAAGTTCTTACTGTATAGCACAGGGAGCTATATTAGGTATCTTATAGTAACTTATGGTGAAAAAGAATATGAAAACAAATATATGCATGTTCATGTATGACTGAAGCATTGTGCTGTACACCAGAAATTGACACACTGTAAAATGACTATACTTCAATTAAAAAAATGTATATACAAGAAAAGATATATGTACTGAATGTTCACAGCAGCATTATTTACAATAGCCAAAATAGGGAAGCAACCTAAGTGTCCATCAACAGATGAATGGATAAAGAAGATGTGATATGTATGTTAAAAAAAGCCATAAAAAAAGAATGAAACTCTGCTATTTGCAATAATGTGGATGGACCTAGAGGATACTATGCTTAGTGAAATAAGTCAGACAGAGAAAAACAAATACTCTGTTTATCACTTATACGTGGAATCTAAAAAATAAGACAAACAAATGTATGTAACAAAACAGAAAAAGACTCACAGATATAGAGATCAAACTAGTGATTACCAGTGGGAAGAGGGAAGGTAGGAGAGGCAAGATAGGGATATGGGATTAAGAGATACAAGCTACTATGCATAAAATAAATAAGCAACAAGGGTACATTGTATAGCACAGGGAAATATAGTCATTATCTTGTAATAACTTTAAATGGAGTATAATCTATAAAATATTGAATTACTGCTGTACACCAGAAACTAACATAATATGTTAAATCAAGTATATGACAATAAAAAAAAAAAGAGTGACAGAAAAAAAAAACTGCTACTTAGCACGTAGCCCTATGACCACTGAACCACCGGCTAGAACGCTCTTCCCTGCAAGGCCCCTCAGCTGGTTCCCTCTCATCCTTCATGTCTTGGTTGTATGCTGTCTCCTGCTCCTGGTTGTATATCCTTGTTTCATTCTCTCTGTAGCACTTGTCCCTGTCTGAAATGATCTTCTTCATTCCTTTGATCACCTCCACTAACTAAAGTATGAAATTCCTAAGAGCAGCAGCTTTGTCCTGCTTACCCCTGTATCACCAGCATTCAGAAAAATACCTGTCATATAGCAGAGCTTCAATAAATATTTGTGAGAAAAATAAATGGGAAAATGGGTAAGTGGGACTTCAACTGTTTCTTTTATTCTATCAAGTGTTTGAGATTCAAAGTCCCAGGATCCAGATGCTGAAGAGCCAAGTTCAGATGCTATGCAGCCCTGTGTCTAGACAGTGTTTGTCCCACCCTGGGTTATATGATGGGGCTGAGTATGTGAATTTATTTTCTCTTCAAACTGAATATAAGGGGGAGGAGACAATTCCTGCAGGGAAATAAAGGACTATTTGGGATCCCCAAATGACAAATGCTTATGTACCACTCAACCGTAAGGTGAGAAAAGGAATATTTACTTCCTGTCCTTAAAAAAAGCCGTCTTATAGCTCAGTGGTAGAGTGCATGCTTAGCATGTACAAGGTCCTTGGTTCAATCCCCAGTACCTCCTTTAATAAATAAATAAAGCTAATTACCTATCCCTCTAAAAAAAAAATAACAATAGAAACAGAAAAGCCATAAGTGAAAAGTTTACATTCCTGGTCATCAGTTAACAGTTCTCAATTTCTCTCCTGTTTCCTGATGAAAGACTTTAGGACCAAAGGGTAGGCAAGTCTCTCTGCTCACAAAGATAAACATTCTTCTCCATTAAAACAGGCTGGAAGTCTGGAGATAATTAGACCCACTGTGTCAAGCAATCAGCAACCCAGGGAAGAGGTCACAAAAAACAATGACAAGAGAGCTGGCTAATTCTTGAGGGAAACAGAAGGAAAGCTGTTGCAATCAGCTGAAAGATATCTAGGTTGTTATGGTTCATGGACTGAGCAGTCCATGTACTTGTTTGCGTGATGTTATCGTGGTTTCTCTCTCATCTCCACCCACTCCCCTTATCCTCCCCTATCTCAGACACACCCTGACTCCCAGTCACCGTGTGTTCATTACAATGAGGGCACAGTGAATGTCCCTAGGTCAACTCTGTGCAAAGCAGTATGTAGTCTCCACAGGATTGTACCTCCACAGGAGGAATACCTATGAATTACTTCTCTTTGCTTTCAGTCATTTATTTTTTTCGATGTTTGGGATCTTTTAACTTAGAAGAGCCTTCGGAAATCCAAGACCTGCTTCATTTACTCTTTTTTCAATAGAACATTCACAGCTACTAGAATGATAACTTTGATAGGAGGATCAGCTCCAAAAGAACAGAGACAGTATCAATTTGATTCACACCGAGTGCCATGCCTAGTGCACAGTGGGTTTTCAATATTTGGGGAATAAGCATAGGTACAATTGAAAGTGAGTGGACAGATAAAAACCAAAGAGCTTTTCCCAAGCAGAGACTCTAAAAACCTCCACAGTAGCATTTTCTTCTTTCCTCAGCTGTTCTGCTTCATTGTAAATCTACCCTATCAGTTCTGCCTTGCCCTCTCCTAATTGTATATTTCATCTTCTCCCTTCCTTTTTGGTCTTATTTCTTACCTTGTATCTGATCTCACCAAAGTATAATGAGACATACTCATAAGCATTAGCCTTAGAGCACATAAAGTATGTCTACCCCTTAAGATTCCTCCTTGCTATAAGCAGATATATGATGTCTGACTCTAAGAAAAGATGCGTTTCTGAGAGACCACAGGTTTTCAAACTGTGCATAGTATCCCTGATGAGCTCACAGGGTAATGGTGTAAGTGTCAATAATTTATATATATTTCTAAAAATTTTGTTATAACAGCCCCTCTTCCCTCTAGCCTAGAGGGAAAATTTGTAGTTTTTCTCAAAATTCAGTCCAACTTTTAAAAAATAGGATCATTTCAATGACTTTCATTAATAAGTACTTTCCTTTAACTTAATCATAAAGAATATTGCCACTTATTTCATTACTGAGCCTGTTCAGTCAAAAATTCTGTAGAACAATGTGGCTTTAATAAGCCTATTAATTTTTTCACCACCTCCTTCTGAAATCCTTCTCTATAGCATTCATTTAAGAAGGAGTAACAGTGGAAAAGTCACTTTGTTTTTCAAGGACTTTTTGAAAGTCTGGTTTTGGTACCAGATGTATCTTTCCGCCTCTTTTTGATCAGTGAGATGTAAGATAAGATTAATAAGCATTATAAATAATTAGTGCTTACACTGCCTTTCATCAGCCATTATTGAGATGACCTTGTTTTCATAAATTGTTATGAACCAACTACATCTGCACATTCCTCTAAAATGCACTGAAGTATAATCCACTCTGTGTGGTTTTAATAAGATGGGCTAAGGAAACAGAAGAGAATGTTAAAGCTGGAAGGGATGACAGAAACAATTCAAGTGAGATTTTTATACACTAAAAAAAAAACTAAGTCATAGAAAAGTAAGATGATTTTCTGAATTCCACACAGGCTGCCAACTAGATGCAAGGTCAATACCCCAATCTTCGTCATTCCACACCTACCTAATTCATGCTGATCTTTCCGCCCGGAACACCAACTGCTCAACAGTTCATAACTTTACTCGCTGGGTTGTTTTACCAAGGATCTTGGTTCTAATGGAGAAGTAACTGCTAATGACACTCTCTAATTGCTAAGTTTCGACTCTTCCCACTACTACTGTAGTTATTTGGTCTATATGCTCCATCCTTAGAAACAAACGCTGTGATAAGAAACATTTCTGTCCTACCAACCTAATTTATTTGGGGATAGGCTGTGCGATTAGGTTTGGGTGAGCCCAGGACATAAGAGATTCAAACCCAGCAGTAAGTCTGATCTGTAGACTGCAAAGGTCCTACATTAACTTCCTGCCAGAGGGGCAAGCTGACCTGGGTCCACAAATGCATCCAGGGAGAGATGCACCGACTGGCTGGGAGACAGTGGCTGGTGTTTTTTGGACAAACAAGGAAGAATGAGCAGTGGCTGCAGATGCTTTGGGACAGTGAGCAAAAAGCCAGCTAACCTACACAATTTATCACTTCTGCAATCCTGGGACAGGAAAGGAGCCTTAATTATGATGTAGCCAGGTGGGGTCTTTTGCTTGGGGTCTGTGGGTCCCACAAAATGAAGATTATCATAAGGGGAGGTGGTTTTGTGGCAAAAACCTTTGCTAACCTGTAAACCAAACCATTTCAATGTGTGTACCCATCTCAGACAAGCAGTGTGACTGTTTCCTTAGCACTGGTTCTGGATGTAAACATGCCGTGGTTTGAGCCCTGAACACAAAACCACTGCTTCTGGCCCACTCTGAACGCATTTTCCAGAAATGATGAATATGCAGTGATTCTTCACCTATACTCATGCCTGGATCTGATTTGTGAGATGTTTTAAGAGGTTACTGTGGCTTTGTAATTGAGATTTTTTTCTCTGGGAAGTTAACAGTCCTTTCCACAGCCATTACTGTTGCCTAGCAACAGGGAACAGCAGAGCAGTAACAGGGATTCTAAACTTCCAAGGAATGGGGATAGTCAATGTCTGTCCCATGGACAGGGTACCTCAGTGGGCCTGAGTTGAGATGGGAGAATGTTACAGCAGGACATCTGCGGCCCCAGGGTCTGAAACCCCAGAGAGAAGCAGGTGAGTTCCTAGCTCCTTCTGTTCCAAAAGAATTCATGGGAATTTCTAGGGAAAGTAGCCTTCACTTAGTGCTTCAAAGATAACCTTTCCTTCATGTCTGGAGAAAACATCAGACAGGCTTTTTCTCCCTTCCTGGAGAATAACCCCTTTCTCTGAGTACCGCTGTCTTCCCAGATCGTAGGGCAGGGTCTAACATGCTGTACATGTTCAATTAAATATTTGTTGAATGAATAAATGTCCCTCACTTGCTCTTCTCAAAATCACATACTTAACCCAACATTTTTTTTTTTTTACTCGTGTGGGAAAGGGGGCTGAATTAGCCCTTTTTCAGGACTGCTGTAATAAAATGTCACCTTCACAGCCCCCTTGTCAGGAGATATACACAAAAGAAGCCAGGTCCCTCCAGCTCTCCTCAAATAAGAACAGAAACCAACTCTGGCTACAAATACGGAAGCATAGTTCACCTTTACAACTGATCTATAGTTAATTACTGGAAACTTTACATGTTGACACAATACTCATTTCCCCTTAAAAATGGGGAAATAACTTTCCTTGAGAATTTTCTTTTAAACCTTGAATGAGAGATGCCCATAACTCCTTTGTAGAAAGAGCTGGATCCTGGAAGGTGGTGTCCTTGGGATACGTACACATGTAACCGTTGTTCTGCTTTGTTAAAGTTGAAAATGTATTTTCATTACATGAAATGTGTGGGCCTTGTTTTTATTGGCTTGTAAGCTTGGGTCTATGATCCACAGATGATGTGGAAAATTCACAAATCCCCTCAATTTTTATGAGAAATGTTTCAATCTGCAAAGGAGTCTGGCATCCTCAAATATTAACAGCCTTTGGGAGGAAGGAAATTTTTTGTCTGTTAAAGAAAATAAAAATTTAGTAAACGCTCTCTTTCTTTTCATTTCTCTGAACACAGCACCTAAAAAGACAATAGGTCAATGTGCTGACAACTGGAGAGGTGAATGTAATGTTACCAAAGGGAGGAAAAACGGCCTGTAATTAACAACTTTTAAATGAGTAGCCCAGGGCACCACCAGCAGGGAAGCCAAGTGGAAAGCAGGACTTGCTCTCACTGTACATCACTGGTGTTTCTTCTCCTGGCACATGGAGCTGGTGCTCTGTGCAAACACAGAGCGGGGCTTTGATGCAGGAGAGAGTGGAGGACCGTGCTGACTCGCTTCACCTTTAGATGGGTTCAACTCAGCTCCTTCACTTCTAAGCAGGAACAAACCCGTGCTATGTGCCTGTCTGCCTGCCCTACTTTTCTCTCCTCCTCTCTCTCCTCTTGCCCTTGAGACAGACCTTTGCTTTAGTTATATAAACCAAATGGGAACTTGAGCCTATGCTGTCTAAGCCGGGGAGGGTTAGACCTTGGATGCAATTAATCTAGGGGAATAAAAAAGCACTTTCCCAGGAAATCCTCTCCTAGAAGAATCGAGTGCTCAATAGCTGTATTTTCAAACCAATTTTATTAAAATCACTTATTCACATGGACTGATTGGTGACTAATTAGTACTCCCCCATAAACAGCACAGAGTAGAAGTTGTGAGAACAGATACACAGATGTTCCACTGAAAGGAAGGAAATATTTATGTTATCGTTAAATACTGAAAACAGCAACTGTAAGGCTTAGACGTCACAGTGTTACTCCCTGCCAATAGAAATTTAAAGATTTTTTTCAGCTTTTCCATGGGCGCTGAATTAAGAAAACACTGCAATAAAAACAAGCTTCATAAATACATTTGTTAATTCTAATTTGTTTTCTCTCAAGGCTAATAGGCTTTCTAAAGCTTTTGTTCCCTTAATTACGGTACAACATGACTTGTACTGTGTATGCTGAGTTACTATGGTTACTCTGAGGCCATGACTCATGACCTTTAAATATTATTGTCAGGCAGCCAAAGCTCCTTCGGTTTTAAACTAGTAGTTTTGTTTCAGGCATTATTTAAAAAAAAAAAAAGGTTCAGCTTCAAACAGTACTTTCTCTTACGTATTTGTGGCACATCTGAACATGCACATGTATTATACTCAAAATGGTTTTGTTTGTTTGGTTTCATTCAATGACCAAGTATTAATTTCTGGACAAGGTATACATACTCCTTGTCTTCTAGGAGATGTCACTGAGAAAGGCTAAAACATAGGTAGACAAATAATTGTATACTTCATGAGAGCTAGTAAGGCTATACAAGACAGACATCCAAAAATTGTTTGTGGACACAGAGGCAAAAACTAGCTGCGACCCACTGGACCAAAGGGACTCCAGAGAAAGACAGCCTTTGAGTCACGGTGTAAATAGGTAGGAGTTTAACAAACAGACAAGAGAGCAAGAGCACTCTAGTCAAAGGAAACAAATGAAGAAAAAGATAAACAAGTACCCTGACACTATAGGGTAGTGGAGTTTGGTGACCATGCCAATTTTGTGAGATGCACTGATAGAAGATCAATCAGTTAGAAGGTAAGAGGGGCCGGCTTATCAAGATCCTTCAAAACCATTTGTTGTTTTGGTCAGCAACTGCAATGATCAAAAGTTTGTTTTCCATTTCATGATAAAGAGGTACTCTCAAGTAGAAAGCACCAAAATACTGCGCCTTGATGATTTAGATATGATGCAAGAAAAGCAATTACATCTCTCAGAACCCCAGTGTGTCCTTCCACTAAAGTGGGAATTTAATTAATTTTGTTCAGTACTCCCTGATTACTTTGTAAACCTTTTAAATGGTTTTAAATTTTTTGAAAAGTGAAAGACATGTACAGAAATATGGATATAAAATAATACATTCATTAGAGAGATGGTAAAATAGAAAATAATGGCAACTCGGTATTTTAAATAAGACTTACTGGTTGTAACAGGAGAATGAGACTTATTAAGATTGAAGTTTATTAAATCATCCATTTACTTATTCATTCAACAAATATTTATTGACCATCCTAACCCTCTTCAAGATGCTAAGGATGGAGTAACAAAATAATAGCAGAAAAATTCCCCATCTTCGAGGAATTTGTATTTTCAGTTGGGGGGAAACAATACATATAATAAATAAGCAAATTATATAATATGTTAGAAGGTGGCAAGTACTTCAGAGAAAAATCAAACAAGGTGATGAGGAGGGGTATAGAGGTGAGGAATTCAATTTTAAGTGAGGGACATGTGGTAGGCTTCCCTGAGAAAGGGATATCTGAGTAAAGACAAGAAGGAAATGGGAAAGTGCCTGGTGGACAAGTATGGATGAAGTGTTCCTGGCAGAGGTGACTGACGAACAATGAGGAGGATAGTGTGACCTTTGTGGGGAGAGATACAGAAGGAGAATATGAGATGAATTCAGGCAGGTGAAGGCAGGGTTGTGTTTGGAAGGAGAGGGAGGGAATGGAATGGAGTCCTATGGTGGGTGGGAAGGCTGAATGGCAGAGACATCTGTAGGACCTTGTCGGTCATTATATGGACTTTAGCTTTTATTCTGAATGAGTAAATTGGAGGGTTTTTAGCAGATGAGTGAAACAATTTTTTCTATGGTTGATGCGTATCGAAAATAGAAGGTAGGGGGCAAGGCGGAACCAGAAAGAGCTATTTAGAAGGTTAATGCAACAGTCCAGGGAAGAGCTGATGATAGCTTGAGGCTTAAATCAGGGTGTTAACAATAGAGGTGGTGAGAATCGATGAGATACTGGGTATACTGTAATGGTAGAGCCAAGAATCTCCTGTTGGATTGGACATGGGTCCTAAGACAAAAAGGGGAGTCAAGATTTTAACATGAGCAACTGGAAGGATGATGTCATCATCCACTAAGACAGAGAAGACTGTAAATGGGGCAGATTTGAGAGTAGGAATCAGGACTTAGGTTTTGGAAATGTTGAAATTGGGATGTCTCTTAGACATCCTGCTGGAGATGTCAAGAAGGCAGCTGAATGAATGAACATGGAATTCAAGGGACAATTCTAGATTGGGAACATATATTTGGGAGTGATCAGCATATTGATAATTAAATCCCTGAAGTGGGATGAGATCACCAAGGGAGTGAATATGAGTAGAGAAGAGAGAGGAAGCCCTGGAGCTTGCCAGCTTGGATGGTTCTTCACCATCCAAGGAGACTGAGAAGGACCAGCAGGTAGGACAGGAAGGAAGCCTGGAACCTTATAATGTCCTGGGAGTCAAGTGGAACAAGTATCAAGGAGGGAGTAATGCATCATGTCAAAAGTTGTCAAGTAAGGTGAGTTGTGACAAATGACCACTAGACACAGTCATGCGGAGACCACTGGTGAATTCAATACATGCAGTGTCTGTGGAATGGCACTTGTGACAGGCTGAACATAGTGACTTTATAGAAAAATAGGAGGAAAGGAACTGGAGACAGTGAGAATACAGTTTTGCTCTAATGGGGGTCAGAATAATCAAGGAGAAACTAAAGGGTTAAGAATGCTCAAGATGCAGTAAATAACAGCATGCCTGTAAATTATTGGAAATGACCCAGAAGAGAGAGAGAGAGAAATTGACTGAGAAGCAGTGTAGGAGACAAAGAATTCCCTAAGTCTGCTGTTTCATAGGATGATATGCTCTCCTCCCTCTCCTTTTCTTTTCTTTTTTTTAGTTGAAATAAGATATTTTGCAGGTTTTCAGAACAGATTGTACTGTTCACACTGCTTATTCTCAAGAGGACCTTTAAAGGCTATTTTATCTTCTTCAAGTAAAGTTTACATTCCCTAGTTTTGATTTCCTGTAGAAGTGTTCAGAAATTGACATTGGGAGGAAATACTTGAGAAAATGGAGCTTCACTGTTACAGCATAAAGATGTACTAGACGTGAGGTGTCTGTGTGTGTGGATGAATGTGTGCAGGTCTGGGATAAAAATCTGGAATTCTGAACTCTTACTTTATTTCAGCACCACGTCCCGAAGTTTAGAGTCAGATACACAACAAACAAACAAAATACCGGTAAGAAATGAAATTTGCATGATTTTCTTTTTTTAAACATTACAGTTAATGAAACTGTAACTTCTTTCATTACTGTTGAGATTTTCCTAATACGGCTTTGCTTTCATTTTACTAGTGAAAAATTTAAAAATAAAACAAACTGTCCTTTTTCAAGTAGGATGAGATAAAGTGGGCAGAGTGCCAACTAAAGGATGTTATTGGGCAGGAGGGAAGGTAGGTGTGGTGTGACCACCCCTGTTTTTACTTGGAATCCCACACTGCTCTCTGTGGTCTTACAGTATCAGAGACATTCTGGGTTACTTCAGAGTATTGGCTTGTGTGAGAGAAAATCCTGGAATTTAGATATGATACAGATTGGGTAAATCATATTATTTGGTTCATTTAGGTTTGGGTGTAAATCACAGTCTATTCCGGATATTTTCAGTTTATGCTCCTTCAAGTCAGTCCTTGGACAGCTGGGCCCTTTCCACCTGAGCCTCCTCTAGCCCCTCTCGAGGCCTCAGGTGACAACTGTGCACGTGGTGAAGTGTTGAGGCTGCGTGATGGGCATGTGCAGGCTCACTCTAGTAGTTCTCTACTTTGACTTAAGTCTGTGAATTTCCCTTAAAAAAGAAAAACATAAGCTATCTATACACCCTTTATTCAGTAGTAAGGAGTCCCCTAGACTCCATCCAGAGACATTTCTGGAACAATCTTTTTAGCTCTGATGTAGAGGCAGTGTGGTATACAAGAAAGATCTCAGGACCAGGAATCAGGCCCAACTTAGCCACCTCCAAGTTGTGTGATGATAGCCAACACGTTTCAACCCTCTGAGCCTGTTTTTCAACCAAAGAATGAGGATGATGAGACTTCTAAGAGTTTACTTCAAATAAGATGTTTGGGAGGTGAAACTGGATGGGAGAGTATCTATGAATGTACAGGAGTACAGCTATTCAGAATGGACTCAATTCACACGGGCTTCCCTGAAAACCATGGGACCTTGCTCTTCGATTTCCCTGTTTCTTCCTGGATTCAGCAATTCTGCTCTTCTACTCTCATCCCACCCCAGCATCACCAGCTAAGAACAAGTCATCTAGTCAGCAGCATATTCCGAAATTTACTTCTGCACAATCACTTTTATTCATCTCTTTTCTAAGTAGAGTTCATTTAATCTGGCCCCAGACAGACTGGGCGTGTATCTCAAATCCATAATAATTTTCAGGAGGAAGATTTTTGTTGAAGAAATACAAGCCAAAGGGAAACCAACTTAGATGAGTAGACTATGACTTTCATTAAAATTTTGCTTTCTAACTCTAATGACAGTTTAGTCTTAGCTTATATTTTTTAATCTAGCAAAAGAAAACCTGATGTTAGTTTTCATTTTATACAGTAGAGCTATTTACGATTCTCTTTTTTTTAATCTGTTAGATAGTGAAATTCTTTTTTTAAATTTACATATATGTACTGTTCATTGTTTCTAAGAACAGGTTAGAGCTTTAGCTTTTTAAACTTACATGGTTATCAAAGGAATAAAGCCAATCACAAAATAAGAATCAACAGAATGCGGTAATACACTCATAAACGATAGTCACATGTGCTTACACATATTCAAGAACTCAGTCATCGAGGTTATAAATATTAAGTAGTTCATTTGAGTCCTTTTTTTTTAAGATTCTACATGTAAGTGATATTATATGGCATTTTTCTTTCTCTTTCCAGCCCACTTCACTTAGAATGACAATCTCCAGGTCCATCCATGTTGCTGCAAGTGACATTATTTTATTATTTTATTTACGAGTCTCTTGCCCAAAGAAAGAGTGTCCCTCAACTGCACTATATGAAAACATTTTTTCTCCAGTTAGCTGGAACCCTTGGGCTAGTATTTAAATTGGAGTTTTGGAAATGGGAGACTTCAGTTCACCAATCTCTGTTTACTGACTTTTCCTCTAACAATGCTAATCAATTAGCGCCCTAGAGGTAACCATCCCATTGGCGGCTTAAGACTGGAAAAAGGACAAGGTGGCAATTACCACATTCAGGATTTCTGCCTAGAGCTCCTAATTAGCTTCCTGGAGTTCAGAATCTATCTCCTTTCAATTTACATTTAACATAGCTGGGAGCCCTGGGGCTTGAAGTAACTGGTTCTGCTTTAGTTACTGAATTTTTACATTTCTAAAAGAATATATTTAGCTGGAGGAGTAGGTGGAGGAGGTTAGGATTAGACACCTCAAGGCCACAGGATAGTCACAATTAGTGCTGCCTCCTGATGACACAATCCCTTTTAAATCCTGGCACTCACAAAATGATCACTCAGCAGAATAGATTCTGCTCTGTACATGCAGGACTAAACTGCAGGTGGATCTCAGATGCCTCTTTTTAACTAGTTCTGGTTAACTGTGGTAGGGAAGACTGGGATGAAGGATCAAAATCTCTCCAAGGGTGTGAAGATACCTTGACCATCCACGCAGAGTGAAACATGCTCTACCTTTGTGGCACCGCTATCTGGAGACGATGGTTCCCAGTTTGCCTTGAGTGACCTGAGTTGGTCTCTCAATAGGACTTTTAACTGTTCAACTCTCCCGGTAAACTGTGCATTCTTAAAGCCTTTATTCATTTCTATGTCCCTGGGACAAAATTTTGGATATCAAAATGGCATTCCATCAGTACTATTTGAAACAGAACAAATGGGCTGAGCTCCAGATATAGCACTGAGTGACTGACAGACGCCAACCCCCTGAATTCTTAGGCAGCAGATAGGGGTGGTTTTTCAGAATCATCACTGTTGTACTGATACTTTTCTTGCCCTTTGCCCCTCCCTTCCTCCTTTTCCTCTTTCTCCTCCTCCTCTTCACTATTAATATTGTTATTACTATTATTACCACTTTAGAAATTAAGAAATTTAGAGTCAGGGAGATTGAGGGAGAGTCTAGCTGTTGAGTGATTGATGAGTCATGTATTTACTGTACAGCAGGAACATTATGGGATAAGCCAGTGAGAACTTATTTAGATGCATTTCTCATGTGCTAGCTGTCCCGTTTATCTGGGCCTTTTTCCTTTGGTCCTGTTGGAGGATTTGAATGTTATTTGAACTGCTGCCTTTGCTCCACTTTAACATTCTTTAACAGATAAGGGGTAGTGCTTATAAATCACCTCATGTGAAACCGTGTAGGAAATAAAAATTCTATTGCAAAGAGGCTTGACCTGAACCGGATAGCTGGCTTAGGGTTTCTCACCCTGAACTACTCCTGAGAACTAGGACAAGTAGAAATGAACGAAGTAAAACCTCAGAGGAACGTAGGTTACGTGGAGTGGCACACTGGAAAGTGAGAGTGTGGGTATGAATTCATTAGTGCTAGAATATGTGTGAAGTATTTCACTAACTGTGCAGAACTAAGCTTATTATAAAACTTCATAAGCCATTTAGTGTTCAAGTTGTGATTCTGTGATGACTTCATTAAAGAATTATTTTAAGTGCCAAAGATATTGAAGCACTTTTTAATTTTTAATTTGGTAAGTTCAAATTCATAGCACACTATATAGTAAGTCAGCTTTATAAAATAACCTTAAATTAGCTAAAAAATATTACATTTGATAAAGTGGGAAAGGCAAGCGATACCTTAAATTGTGTCCACGGTATAACTTCTATTCTTCCAGTACTTGGTATCATCAAGTATTTAAATATAATAAACTTTTGCAGGAAGCATATATTTGGTCATGTTTCTGACATTTCTAAATTTTCACATTCTAAAACGGCTTTTAGAAGAGTTTTCCCTCTGATTGAACTTTCAAATCATTCATAAATTATAGTTTGTTCATATATCACTTGTGCTTTAAATGAGCATGTCAAATGATTTAAAAGAGACATTCCTATTTATCTTTAAATGATATCAACACAGAACTGGGTTTCTATGTATATTTAAGGATTCAGGCTGGTGTAAGAGATAGGTTATTTATTTATTTTGCAACTCTAATAGATGAGAAATGCTATCTCAGAACTTCTTGTTTTGGACTTTTCATTCTCTTTCCTTCTTTCATTTTCTTTCCTTCCTTTCTTTCTTCTTTCCCCTTCCCTTCCTTTCTTTTCATAAAGCATACTGGACAAATTTAAGGTGTACAAGTTGTTGAGTTGGGACATACGTGTACACACATAAACTGGCATCACAGTCAAGAAAATGAGACTTTCCATCACCCACAGACGTTTCTCATGTTCCCTGGTAGCCCCTCTCATCCACTTCTTTCACCTCGTTTCCAAGAAAGCATGGTCTGTTTCACATCACTGTATATTATTCCGCACTTCCTTGAGCTTTATATGTATAAAAAATTATACAACATGTACCCCTTTTACTGGCTTCTTTCACTCAGTAAAATGATGCTGGAATTCACTCATGTTTTAGTGAGTATCAAGAATTCATTTTTATTAGTAAGTGGCATCCCCCTGAATTGAATGTGCCAGTTTAGTTGATCCCTTCAACCCACTGACTGACATTTAGGTTATTTCCAGTTTTTGACTCTTCGCAAATAAAGCTGCTATAAATATTCTCGTACAAGTCTTTGTATAGACGTATGCTTTCTTTTCTCTTGGGTAAATCCCTGAGAGTGAAATGGTTGAATCACATGGTAGGTGTATTTTTAACTTTCTTAAAAACTGTCAAACTGTTTTCCAAAGTTGTGGTATCATTTTACACTCCAACCAGCAGTGTATTAAAGTTTTAGTTCATCCATATTCTCTCCCATCTTGGTAAGGTCGGCCTTTTAAATTTAGCCATTTTAATAGGTGTGGCGTATCTCATCGTGGTTCCAATTTGCATTTCCTTAATAACTGACGGCGTTTGAGCACCTATTCATGTTCATTTAATAAAACATGGTAATGTTCATTTATTCAACCTGAAAAAAGTTTTTTTTTTCCCCAAGAAAGAACATAGATAGTCCAGAAATTGAAACTTTACTTCTAGGGACATCTGCTAGTTATCTAGACAGCATTTAACGTTACTCTACCCAGGAGAGCAATGTTATCTCCTCAG